CACACAAACAATCTTTTACATTTATTATACTAGTAAGGATGATGATCATGAATTTTGAAGTCAAACTTTAAAAGTCACGAGATAATCTGGAATAAATCGTGTTAACTTTATAGGCACCATTTGTTTTAATTTACATTCTGGCGTATGGCGACGTCACGTCCAATGTGAATGCTCTGACTTGGAATTTTTCATTCATGTACAGATAACATCATACAACGCATGATGTGAGGAATATTTTGATATAGGTTTTAATATCTAATCGTTTATCATACGTTTCTATCTATACGTCATCTATCCGTTTATGTTATTGATATCACTTGAATGTAAATATTATGATGGTATTATTTATAATAATATTAGTAATAGGTAAAGTTTGTGAGTTTGTGAGGTTGTAGGGAGTAATCTCTGGGTCTACTGAACCGATTTAGATGAAATTTGATAAGAAAATTGTTTGAGACTCTGGGAAGGACAGAGGATAGTTTTTATCCCGAAAATTATCCCTTAATGGGATGAAAGTTTGTATGGGGAAGCAATCTAGGGACAAACCCAATCGAAGCGAGGGTTAGTCGTTTTTCATAAACAAAGATAAATAAGATGGCCTAAATTGCTATGGCATATGTAAAACTGGCAATACTTTTGAGGTTTCGAAGGCGACTATATCTATTATTTGGTCATTGGTGTATATCTTATGGTTAGATAAGAAATGGCAGAAATAACTTTAGCTATTTTACGAGGACTTATGTTAGTTTAGGACAGATTGGCATAAAAACGTAATATCGTCTCAAAAAATGTCATCGTTGAAATAACTGTATATACCTTACTTACATTTAGTTCATTCAGTGAGAACACTTGTGGCCCATTCATCCTACTTTCTATCTCTTTTCCTCTTAATTATAATTGATAGAGACCCTTTAAGTGTTGCAATTTTGTGTCAGAAAGAGGAAGATGTCACTATATATATGTTTCTTGGCGCGAAATAAACTTGGTTTTTTTTGCTAATGCTATGCATGATTGGACAATTGATGCTAATCATTTGAAGAGGAATATGGGGAGCGTAACGTCGAACAAAATATTATTTAATTTGCATATAAGAATCGTGTGGGTGAACAAGTTAACTACTTAAATCGAGTTATAAACTAACGTGTCTTTTACAATAATAAGTAATGTCTATTGTGTTTTCGTGTCGTTTCTATAAATTTTATAATTTTGCAATAAATAAATCGGTATTTTTGCACTTTTTGCTTGAGTATTACCACTTACGCGTATGTTAAATTTTATTAAGTGTAGCTTTTTATATAGTAGTAAAATTAAAAAAAAAAATTTTAGTTAAACATAGTGCCTGCAAAAATATCTATAAATAGTGTATACATCTTAGAGTAGATTGGTCGTTGAGAGTATATTGAATCTTTGAATGTCAATTATAATGAATAAGAATTAAGATCTAATTCGATGTTAAGTTTTATTATTAACTAGCGACTCACCCTCGTTCCGCTCGTGTTCGTCCCTAGTAAGGTTTTAACGTTTATTATAGATTTCTCAGGGTTGAGGTATTTTCCCGCAGTAAAAAGTATCTTATATGTTGTCCGGAATAACCAACTATCATCCTACTAAATTTCATCAAAATCTGTGCAGTGGTTTTCTCTAGTATAATAGATTCGGCCTCTGTACCGATAATAATGACTATTTTAATATAAGATTTTCCAAAAAAATATTTAATGTACAGATTCGGCTTGGTTACAATTTTATTTTATGTATAGATATGTATAGATTATTACTAGAAGCTGAGTATTGCTGAATAGAACATTTGACTTTGGCTTGATTTGTATATATTTTATTACAAATTTAAGTTGAGCAGAAGAAATTGATACTCATTTTTAACATTATATTCTTTAACATTGTAACTATTCCACAATAAAGTAAAATCAGCAAAGTTTATTTTAAGAAATCATTACATATGACATACAATATTTTTGCATATCATATTACAATTTGTCATCATAATCTACCTACATATAATAAAATTGTAATAAAGCCGAATCTGTACATTAAGTATTTTTTGGTAAATATTATTGAAATAAACCTTATTATCGATACAGAGACCGAATCTATAGTTTTTAGAATTATTGTCTGTCTGTCTGTCTGTCTGTCTGTCTGTTACCGCATCACAGAAAAATCACAGGAGGGATTTTAATGAAATTTGGTATGGTGATAGCTGGTTATCCGGGTCAACATATAGAATACTTTTTACCGCGGGAAAATGACTCATTTCTGAGAAAAAATACAAACACTGCAATGTAAGAGTATACTAATATGTAAAACCTAACCTATAGTTTGCTCCTCTTATTAAGGTTTTTGCATTATCGTAGTAGTCTCGAAGGTGGGTTGTGTGTGTTTGATATACATTGCAATTTGCATATAGAGGATTCTACATGCTTCACGTGCTATAGTGTGTATAAGTACATAAATGTTATATAAATAAGTGTTGTATACAACAGTTCCATTAGTTCATTAAGTCAGTATTAAATCTACAGTCAAGATCACTAGACGTATTATTTTATTCCGCCGAACCCTACATGGCGACCCTTTTAGGGAGTGTGCCTCCTCGCAAGAATTTAGAAGACAACATACATTTAGAATGACAATAGACGAATGGCAGAAAAATAATTATACATAAAAAAAAATATGAAGAAAAAAAGCTCAAATTCTGCACATGTCGAAGAAATTAAAAGCCATTTATCTGGAATATCTGTCCAGCTGATGATAATAGGTATGCACTCTTTTGGGCTTGGCTCTTCTCTATTGTGTATACAAAATATACAAAAGGTGCCACGCAAGCTGGATGCGGAATGAGATGTTGATGCACAATTTGGGTCGCACTTTTATGTGGTCACCGGACTCAGGACCTCGTATACCTCGTGTATGCTCCGAGGGCCGCCATGAGGAACATCGGGAGACAACGAATGCGTCAATGTGATAAGTGAAGTGAAAGTGATAGGTAAAAATATGGGCATAAGGTGGAAATTGAAAAACATATTATAGTTTAAGTTTAAGAAAATAATAAAATTTAAAATAGTCTTATATACATATACCTTATAACATTTTTGATAACTGTATTTTTTTAACTGTATTTTCATGTCTATTGTAATATAAAAAAATATATATTAAAAATTTAAAAGTATAAAAGATCAATTTGCTTAAAAAGTTATGCTAGGCGTACTGGAAATATTTTACAACAAAAACTTAAAGAATCTTTACAATTACGTAACGAATTTGATAATTGTTTAATAATTTTAAATAAAGATATAAAAAATTAGAATTTTTCGAGACTAATAGTACCTATATATAGTACCTATATTAGGTTGCGAATATAGTAATATTGTTGAGTTAGCAATAGGTAGCATCAAATGTAGATTCTATGTAGGTAGATTGCTTGTAGATGCCAGAGCCTCGGTATGTGTGATTAAATATGACACGCTGAAACCTAAACATATCTTTACAAAAGAAACCGATTACAATAAAGGGAATTGGAGGCAAATTACGAACCGTGGGACATGTTTATTTGTCGTCTCTTAACGGATTGGAATTTAATAATAAGATTATTACCTTGTTTGTTGCTACTCCTTGAAATATCTTCTATTTATTTGCATGCCTATATTTTTTTTGTAAAGTTAAGGCAAACGTTATCTTGGTTTTACGGTTTTCCGAAAGTATTTCTTTAGGATAGCCTTATCCAAGCTCAAATATTCGCTTTACCAGTATTTATTTATTTATTAATTTTTGGGAAACAGTGAGATAATTTTTAAAAATAATTACAAACTAAAACATTCACACACCAGCAAAGTTTAAATAATTTTTTTTTTAACAAAAGTTACTGCAAACTAAAAACACTATAGACAACAAAAAATGACTAAGTCAATATTATTAAAAAAATTAAAACACAATATACCCCCTATACCCCCCTTTGAACCAGTGGAAAAAAGCATTGCTCTTAAATAGTGGGATCGTTGTTTATACATCGTTTATTAATTTTTTACTTATAATTAGAAACTTATAATACGTTTCATTTATCATGAATCCTATCCATATAATAGGGAAACACTGTAATTAATGTTATGAGGAAAATATTTCTAAAATATAAAGATATTGCAAAACAGACAGTTATATAATAAGATGATAACAATTAAACCCCATAATGTTGCAACTGTTAAAGTTAAATACTTAAAGATACGTTATAAAGTAAGAAAAATGCTTATTTTATCGCATTAAATTGTTTTGAATAAGTATAAAAGACAGATTTTCAATTACAAGTAATTTTAACTTTTGATACAATTATTGCAAACACAATAAAGTGATCTGGCTTAGTATAATATTATAACTAGTACCTAATCAAAAGAGGTTGAAAATGCAAAACTTATCGCTTACACAAACAAAAATCCTATATTTTCAGCTTTATATATACCTATATACTACCGAGTCACCCATCGCTCCGGTGTGTCCCTACACTACGTTTTAATTTTTCTGAGCGGAATCCTAATTATTTTTCTAAAATTAAAGTAGCCTAAATTATTCCAACAAGAGCTATCCACTAGTGAAAGTCCCTTCAAAACTAGTTCGGAGATTAGCCGAAACAAACAGACAGACAAAAAAAGGTGTTTTTCCTATAAGTACCGTATACAATTTTATATGCATTCAGTAAAAAGCTATTATTTTGACATTACAAACAGACACTAAAATATTTATCTGTGTATATAGTACTAGTGTGATTATTCAGATATTAATAATTATTTCATTTGTTTCAGAACTGGGCACCCATGTGCCCCTACCACGCTGTTCCACACCAACAACACTGATCATAATGACAGGGCGACCCTTCAGGAAAAAGTTCAAAATCCTTAGCACGTACCTCAATACGTAGACTTTTGTTAACGTTATATTTATTTCAAGTGATAGTCTAGTTCCTGCTTAGTGATATTAGTTATAAGTAGCCAAGTGCCATAGACATGATTGGTTTAAGTGTGTTTTTGGTGGCGTTGGGAGTGGTGGTAGGGGATAGAAGTCAGTTACCCCCTACTTGTAATAGGTAAGTTTATAGTTATTATATTCGTCAATACATTTGTATTTAGCCCTTTTTAAAGTCCCACTGCTGGGCGTGGGCCTCCCTTCAATACGAGGGGGATCAGGCCATAGTCCACCACGCGGCCAAGTGCGGGTTGGCGGACTTCACATGTCTTTCAAAAACTTGCTAAGTTCTCTCAGCCATGCAGGTTTCCTCATGATGTTTTCCTTCACCGTAAGGCAAGTGGTAATCATGTTAGAAATGATTCGCACATGAAAATATCAGAGGTGCGAGATCCGGGATTTGAACCCGCTTCACTCGGTTTCCCAAGCGAGCGCGTTACCACTGGGCTACCACTGTCAATACATTTACCCAATTATTATTAATTATTATTTAGGTGTCTTTTACGTTTATAATGCTCCTACACTCGCTTACCTGATCTTCATTATAAAATATTATTCTATATTTCTATATATGTAATATACCAGATTATATAACCAAACTTTGTCTCTAGCAGCCATTTAACCCTCTTCAAGTTTAATTTTCGTGACAGAAAGTGACTCGTGCCTTTCTCCAAGGTCTCATCTATCTATATACCAACATTCATTAAAATTTGGTTCAGCCGTGTTCGTATGAAAAACTTACAGACAGACAGAATTACTTTCGCATTTCTAATATAAGTAAGTTTGGATTTAAATTTTAAGCCATTCGACTGTATGATATATTTTTGTATAGAATTGAAGACGCTTACTTCGCATCTGGGCTAAGTATAGTAATTTATGTCCATTTAGTTTCAGAGATTGTGCGTAAGGGACATACAAATAAAATGGATTATATAGTGTAAGATTTCTAGAAATCTAGTGTTGATTTAGTTCTCTAGACACAAAAATCAAGATAATCTATAAACGTTACTAAGATATAATTTTGAATCAAGTCTACAAAAATAAAATACACCCTTGTTTTAAAATAGTAGTAGAAGTAACCAATAAGTTAAACATCATGAAATGTCAGTAAAACTGTAAAGCTAAACTGGTATTAAAAACTCGCTAATCGTAAAATTCCTAGGATACTACAAACGAGTTTTTAACTTTGGCTTTGTCCTTACGTACATTATTTAGTTCACGGTCCTGGGTTTCTTTCCTGGTTCGGGCCAAGTTTAGTTTTTGAGTCTTTTATGAAAGTCACAGTAACAACCCGGAGTTGGGGATTTGGCGATTTTTCACCCCCATGCCTCGGAGGCAAAGTAAAGCCGTCGGTCCTGCGCATGATCTTTTATCAGTCGTGTTGAATTATCGTTCCATTGGAATTGAGACTGAAAATATAGAATGCACCGGTGTTAACGCGTACATTTATAGTTACACATATAATTCCATAGTAAGCTACAAAACTTGTGTTATGGATACCAGATGGTTGATACACTACACATATATAACTTTAAATACATACATATTATAAATATTAACATCCATGATTGGAGTAAAAACATTCGTGCTCATCACACAAATGAATGCCTCCAGCGCGATTCGAACCCGCGACCGCTGGCACAGCAAGTAGGGTCACTACAAACTAAGCCAAACGTGTCGTCAAATATCTCCTGAGCCAATGGGTACTCTTAGTGAGATTGGCCGTCGCGGTCGAAGTCGATCGGGAGGACATCTTTTAGTTCACAAGCATTATAATTTATAGGTGATCTCTGCTAAATATCACCTCCAGGTAAATTTCTAAGAAATTAATTAAAATTCTAAGAAATCTATTGTTAACTGACACGCTGAAGCCGCGGTCGTGGGGGGAATACTCGTATGAATGTACGTAGAACAGGGAGTTTAGGGTGCATCTTTTGATGTACCGGGTATATTGAAGTAAATAGCTATTAAACTAAAAATGTACAATCATCCCATAAGTGGGTTTTTCCCATAAGGGAAAGTTTGTATGGAGAAGCAACTTATGGACGAACCCGAGCAAAGCGAGGGTGAATCGCTAGTTTAGTGATAAGATCAATGAACGCAATAAAAATAATATTATAATTTTTATTGTGTTAATAAAATTATTACAATTTATTTATTTATGTATATTATAAAATTATTATTTATAACAAAACAGAAAAAAAAATAAGAAATATATTTACTAGGCTATTTTTGTAATTTGTTTTCGTTGCCAACAGGTTTTTCTTGTATATCATCAGTATTATTATAAATTCAAAAGTCTATGAGTGAGCGAGTGAGTGTGTCTCTTAGTTCCTCATGATATAATGGCTAAATGAAGTTGAATAAAAAAAAATAAGATTATGGAATGGAGATGAGTCCTTGCCAGGGGAAACTCACCATGAGTCCCATACAACCGTCAACGGACAGGGGACTGTGATATTCGTATTCACTAAAACTCACAGCGATCGCCGCAGGGCAATGGGTCGTTGCGGGACCGCTTGTACACGAAAATATCCTTGTGGAAGATATTATATATCCAGGAATTATATAAACATATCCTACTTTTATCAAAGTACAATCTATACTACGACTAATATTATAAAGAGAAAAGATTTGATTTTTTGTTTGTTTATTTTTTTGTACTGAATCGTCTCCGAAACTACTGGATACTGTAACCCTTATAGGCGAAATTTATTTAAAAAAATATTATACAACACATTTTGATAAGATTTATCTATAGAGATAATAATTATAAGATACAGTTCAGAACTGGCGAAGATTTAGCGAATCAAACATAGATTAGAATTGAATTCTTCCTTCTTAATTAAGAACTAATTATTAACTACTAATTAGTAGTACTTATATTCCTATAAAGTCGGTCAAAAATATTTGCATGAGCATAATGTCATTATGTCCCTAGAGGGCAGGTAAAGTGGACGTGTCATGAATAAAATACATTTATTATTATAACTAGCGACTCACTCTCGCTTCGTTCGGGTTCGTCCCTAACGTAACGTAAGTTTTAATGTTTTTGAGCGGAACCCTAATTCTTTTTCTCAAATAAAAGTAGCCTATATTAAGTACTCCCTACAACATCAGTAGTGTTGCCCAAACGCAAGAACAAGACGAGACTTAGCCAGTCTTGGTCTTGGTCTTGCGCCAATACACCTGGTCTTGGTCTTGGTCTTGGTCTTGCGCTCCCAGTCTTGGTCTTGGTCTTGGTCTTGCAGCAAGAGTCTTGCAAGTCTTGCAATTACCTATTAGTCTATTACTATTTATTAAAGTTTACTTTAAATCCTAGAAAAACGTATTAGAATTGGAACATTGTGAGCTTGAATGAATATAGCCATAGTAAAGATCAAGCAGATTAATAAATAACTGAAGATTTGATAAGAAATTCGAAAAATCAACTGACCTATATGTCGTTTTCCATGGAAGTAACTGTTTCTTAATAAACATTTATGATTTATAAGCTTACATTTGCTAAAACATGTAAAAAAACAAATTAATTACAATAACTTAAGTACTCCCTACAACATCAGTAGTGTTGCCCAAACGCAAGAACAAGACGAGACTTAGCCAGTCTTGGTCTTGGTCTTGCGCCAATACACCTGGTCTTGGTCTTGGTCTTGGTCTTGCGCTCCCAGTCTTGGTCTTGGTCTTGGTCTTGCAGCAAGAGTCTTGCAAGTCTTGCAATTACCTATTAGTCTATTACTATTTATTAAAGTTTACTTTAAATCCTAGAAAAACGTATTAGAATTGGAACATTGTGAGCTTGAATGAATATAGCCATAGTAAAGATCAAGCAGATTAATAAATAACTGAAGATTTGATAAGAAATTCGAAAAATCAACTGACCTATATGTCGTTTTCCATGGAAGTAACTGTTTCTTAATAAACATTTATGATTTATAAGCTTACATTTGCTAAAACATGTAAAAAAACAAATTAATTACAATAACTTGACTGTATTTTAAAGAACAATACTTATCTGTCTAAAAAGAGATTGAACCCTCAACTTATAAGAAATTTAATAAAAGAGTTTTACGATTTATCATTTATTTGAATAAAAAATAAAATACAACACAAATCAACAGCTTTATCATTAGGTTATGATACTTTATATCAATTTTTTTGACCAAGAATTAATACAAAGTAACCATCTGGCTGACTCATCACTTAACCTATTTCTATGTTTTCTAATTACTAATGATGCTTTAGAAAATAACCTCTCAGCAGGTACTGAAGTTGCAGGTATTGAGAGAAAATCACGGGCCATTTTCGATAAAATCGGATACTCTGTCTCATGCGTCCTCCACCAATCTAAAATGTCTTCCGAGCTGGCAGTTCTTGGTTTTCTCAGGTACTCCTCCAACTCGTCTATCACTAAGCCTTGAAGACAAGATCCAGATGACGTCGAGGGACATTCATAGAGTTTATCAAAGTCTATTACGTCTTCATCTTCATCACATACTTCATTTTTTTTCTGGTAATTCCAGAGATTTGTTCAGTGAGTGTAGACTTTTATATTCTTCATAAAGTTCCTTGAACTTGCGCAGACTTTCTGTTTTAAGTTGCTTCCCCCACATTGTCAGGTCAAAAGTCTGAGCCTTATGCCTTGGGTCTAAAATTAAAGAAGTACAATAAATCCAGTTGCTCTTCTTGTAATGTTTAAGCATTTTGTCTCGAGCTGCTTGGAAAGCTAGAATGAGCCTTTCATCCACTTCAGATCGATTAGGTTAACTGGCGGTTAAAAATTCGCGCGGAAAAAAAATCTGTGATTTGATGCAAGTTGAACGCGATGCGGCGCGAATTATTTCCGCGCGAAAGTTTTGTACAGTATATAATATGTATGGCTATGGCCGCACTGCGAAATAAAATTCGCGCGTTTCGCTCAGTCGTGCACCGACGCTATTGGTTTATCGAATGATTTTGTAGTCATTCTGTAATATCCGAAAAACTTTTTACTGTATTTTCGCAGCTCTTGATATTTAATGTAGAAAAACATCATTTTAGATTACTAAAATGTCTCAGTAGATATAGTAGATTTATCATTTTAGACGTTTGTCTCAGTCGGGAACTGCATCAAACTGACAAAAA